TAAAACGAAAATAGAAGACAAAAATGCATGAGAAAAAAGAAGGAAGCAAAAGACAGAAAAGAAATAAAAGAATAGAAAAAGAAAAGAGAAGTAGAAAAAAAAAGATGATGAGAGAAAGAGAGAACGACAGATAAAATGAAAGATTAATAAGGGGAAGGTAACTGAGTAAAAAAAGAAGTAGAAAAAAGAAAAGAAAAAAGAGAATTATAGGAGAAACAGAAAAAAGAAGACGATTGGAAGAAAACGAAAGAGAGAAAAAGATATGAACAAAAGAAAAGATGGAGAAAGAAAAAAACAAAAAATGCAAAAATTAACGAGAAAGGCAAGAAAATAAGATAAAGAAGAAACGTATATAAAAATCGGGTGAGAGAAGAGAGATGAAAACGAAAGAAAAAGAGAGAAATAGTACAGAAAGAGAAAGGAAGAAAAAGAAGAAAAATCAAAGGACAAGAGAAAGAAAATAAGGAAAGAAAAAAGAAAGAGAGACGTTGAACTAAAGTAAAAGAGAAAGAGAGAAGATAGAAAAGACAAAAGTAAAAGACAGAAAGAAAAAAGGAAGGAAAAGAGCAATTAAAGAAAAAGAAAAAGACGACTGAAAGAAAGAACGAAAACAATGAGAGAGAGAGAGAGAGAGAGAGAAGATGAACTCAAAGAAGAAAACTTACAAGAAAGAAAATAATGAAAGAAGAGAGTTTGATGAAAAGGAAGTAAGGAAGGTAAATGGAAAAAAAGTTTGAAGGAAAAATAAAATAGAAAAGGGAATAGTGAAAACAGAAGATGAAAGAGTAAAAAAAAAAGGAACGATAAAATGTGCAAAGCAATTAAACGTAAAAAAAGGAATAATCAAAAATAATGCAAACGTTGTTTAAAAAAAGAATTTTTAAAGAACAAAGAAACGAATATATATATGTATGTAAACAGGAAACAGTAAACGTCACTTCCGGCGTGTCAGTTTTATGCTTGATTAATCGAAAACAATTGAGTAGCAAAACATTGGTACCAGAAAATGGCGCCCTTTCAATAAACAACGTCAGTCATCTTTCTTTTTAATTTAAAAGACATCACTTTTGTTCGTAATCAATGCTATTGACCTTTGGCTATTGTCTAATTAAAGAAGAGTGGATGAGCAGCAGCGTTACAATGAAGAGAGTGAATATATATATATATATATATATATATATATATATATATATATATATATATATATAGACCATACAAGTCAGTGAAAAGTGTAGGTCGATGCTAGTTGACCCCAATAAATAAATAGATTATTATCGATCTCTTCCTATTTAGATTGTAAAAAAATAACGCGTTACACATTTAACACAAAGATCACTAGGTTAACAGGACTGAAAAGTAATTTGAAGAAAGAAATAAAGACAAGAATATGATTTTCAATGTCGGAATACCGGCAGAGGTTGTCTTGAAGTCATTCTTGGACATATAATGCAAAAATAAACTTTACCTTCAATTCAACTCCTTTTTTTTTATCTTTTCTCCACAAGCAAGGCGATAATGTCACTAAGACGCACAAGGATTGCAGGGAATGAAACAGCATGAGAAGTGTAGAGAAGTGAGTGAAGGACAGGATTAAGAATTATTTCGGTGATGGATTGATTCCTTCTTTAAGGTTTATCAACCCTTCACGTGTCCTGGGTATGGCGGTAAACAACATCCAATAGCAAAGACTCTGATGAGGACAATAGTCCGAATAATGTAAATAGTGTACATAATACCTCATCTCAGAAATATAGTCAGATACTGAAAGGCCGAAACGTTGTAATAAATATGGTGACAAAGATGAGGACAATAGTCCGAATAATGTAAATAGTATATATAATACCTCATCTCAGAAATATAGACAGATACTGAAAGGCCGAAACGTTGTAATAAATATGGTGACACAGATGAGAACAATAGTCCGAATAATGTAAATAGTGTACATAATACCTCATCTCAAAAATATAGACAGATACTGAAAGGCTGAAACGTTGTAATAAATATGTCGACAAAGATGAGGACAATAGTCCGAATAATGTAAATAGTGTACATAATACCTCATCTCAGAAATATAAACAGATAATAACGTTTTGCTTGAAGTTTTGATTATGTCATTATTTTTTTCCGAGTTCCATGTGCTATCCATTTTAGTTGTTACTGCTGTTGAAAGTTCTCAAGTGATGTGGCTTTTGTAGTTTGGCACCGTTCTTTCAATCGTAAACATTTTTAAACATTGATCTAAGGCAGCCGGGTGTTACGGCCACATCATGTTAAAAACAATTTGAACATGTTCCATTGGAATAGTGATAAAATAGCGAAAAACTTGAAACAATTGCATATGGTGTTGTAAAGTGGAAAACAATCTATCAACCCTCAAGTTTTTCTCCCACTAAGTTGTAAAAGCTAGATCAAAGGAGAGATCTGTTGACAGGCTCTGGTTGGTCATCTCGATTTTCGGGGGTGTACACATATACCTATGTATCATCGGCATAGCTTTACACAAGAGTATGTTTTTAGGCATAATATAAATCAAGAATAGGGTTGGGCTGAGAAGAAAAACTTGGAGGACATCTGCTTTGATCTTAAGGGACTCGGAGGAATGGCCATTAAAGACTACCTTCATGGACCTGCCTGTTAGCATAGGGACTGGTATCACTAGAGAGCTTCTGTAACAACCTGTATACTACATCTTATCAAAGGCCTTCGATATATCTAAGGCAATCGACGCCGTGAGGTATCTATTTTTGAGTTTGACAGTTATTATATCAGGAGTTGATTGAGCAGACGTACTGATTGTCGCTCAAAATTTTGTCCCTGTTCCAAATAACAGAAACCACATCACTTGAGGACTTTCAACAGCAGCAACAGCTAAAATGCATAGCACATGTACTTCAAAAAGTAATGACATAATCAAGATGTTGAAGTTCTGCACTACTTCATGTAAAAGATAGAAAGGAATCCCCTCCCTCATGAATATTAGAAAGAGCGTTAGAAGTTAGATGATATGAGAAATTTATTTTTCTGTAAAATGGTTTTAATAAAAAATATTTTTAAAATTCAGCTGAAAGTGGCACCGGCTGCTTGGCCAATGAATGCCAAATGTTTCCTTATAAGGAAACATGTAATATTACTATTAGAGATAAGAACATATACTACAATTTGATCCCAACCTAATGGCCAGTGACAGAGGAAAAGCAAACCAAACCTCAACAAGGACGAGCTCTTAAGCGACAAACAATATGGATTTCAATTTCGGTCCACTGCTGATGTCCTGTCATTACTCATAGAATCAGCTAGACGTTAGACAACAAACACATGAAGATGATTATCCTATTAGATATTTTGAAGGCCATTGACAAGGGGTGGCAAAGGGGTTGCTACACAAGCTCTTCAGCGATGGTTACCAAATACTTCCAGGGATACCATCGGTGGAGATCATCGGCAACAAACCTTATGCTACATTTTATCAAAGGCCTTCGATATATCTAATGCAATCGACGCTGTGAGGAATTTATGTTGAGTTTGACAGTTATTTTATCAGTATTTGATGCAGCAGATCAAAATCCGTACTGTTTGTCGCTTAAGATGTTGTCTCGGTTGAGGATGTCGACAAATATTTTTCTGATTTTAGCCAACAACTGTTTGCTTATGACACTATTGGGTCGATATTGAGACGAGGATGAGCACTTGACAGAATACTTGAAAACAGGGCAGAGCCTTGACACCTTCCGTAGAATTGGAAAGGGTTTCTTTTTTAGGTAACAGTTGATCAATTTTGCTAAGATTGTAGATTACACTATTTAGTCGATATTAAGACGAGGATGAACGCTCGTCCGAATACTTGACAACTGGGCATAGACTCGATACCATCACTAGCATTGGGAAGGATTTCTTCTTTAGGTAACGGTTGATCAATTTTACTAAGATTGTAGATAAGTCTGGGCTAATGAAACTAATGGTTCGATATTAAGACGAGGATGAGGACTCACCTGAATACATGAAACATGGGCAAACGCTTGACCCATTCCGAAGCATTGGGAAGGGTTTCTTCATTAGGCAACGGTTGATCAATTTTGCTAAGATTCTAGATAACTCAGACCTAATGACACTATTGTGTCGATATTGAGACGAGGATATGCAATTCGCCCGAATAATTGAAAACTGGGCATACACCTGACATGTTCCGTAGCATTGGGAAGGATTTCTTCTTCGGGCAACGGTTGATCAATTTTGATAATATTGTAGATAATTCAGGGCGAATGAAACTATTGGGTTGATATTGAGACGAGGATGAACGTTCGCCTGAATACTTGAAAACTCGGCATACACTTGACACCTTCCGTAGCATTGGGAAGGGTTTCTTCATTAGTCAACGGTTGACCAATTCTGCTAAGATTGTAGTTAACTCAGGCCTAATGACATTATTGGGTCGATATTGTGAAGAGGATGAACGCTCGCCTGAATACTCGAAAACTCGGCATACGTTTGACTCTTTCCGTAGCATTATAATATTTAGGCAACGGTTGATCAATTTTGCTAAGATTGTGGATAACTCAGGGCTAACATTCTTAAGGACGACCACTGGGATTTTTCCTGGATCAGTGACCTTTTTAGGGTCAAAGCTTTTAAGAAGTTTTTGGACTTCTTGTGTCTGATAGAAATATTACTAATTTTGTTTTCAATGCGAATAAAGAAGTAAGAAAGATGTAAGTCATTGTCATCTGACTTGGATTAAGAGAAGCTCTTTGCAGTAAGCTTTGCCCGATCTGAAGAGAGTTAGATAACTTCAGAATTATTTATGTTGGTAGGTACTCAATCTTTATTTCTCTTGAGAATTTGGTTAGAGATTTTCAGAACTCACGTCATGCAAGTGATTTGCTTTCGACCTTGGATTAGAGTTATTAGATATAACTGCAGTTTTTATTTTTAAAATCATTTAACTAAAACGGGAGGAAATTAAAGTTTACTCCCCTTTACCCGTTTAAAGAGGAAATTTCGTCATGACTCACAGACGAGTTCGTTCTTTCATCGGCGTCTGAATTCCTGATTGAGGTTTTGCTCAGAAAGCGAACCAATCTAAAAGTTAGATACCAGAACATGTGGGAATATAATTTCTTTTAACACCTGTAAACCTGGGACTTCTTCAACTTCTCCATTTTCTTTTCTTTTCTTTTCTTTTGTTCTTTTTCTTCTTTTTCTTTTTTTCTTTTTCTTTTTTTTCTTCTTTTTTTTTCTTCCTCCTCCTTTTTCTTTTTTTTCGTTCAGGACGTGGGCGATTTTGATTCCTACAACTTCCTATCGTTTGTAGCTTTAAGAAATATTTACTCTCCCTCTCACTCTCTTTTCGCTAATCACTAGCAGTTTCTCAGTGTCCATCTTGCCTTCAATGTCTTCTGCGTGTCGGGCCCCTTTCTTCATTATCTGTCCTAGAAATTTCAACACTATCTTTCTTAAGTATAAGTGTTCTTTTTGTATACACTTTCCTTCAAACTTGCTAGTTGCTTACATGTTCGTCCAAGGTATTCTCGGCATCCTTCTGTAGAACCATATTTCTTTTGCCCAATGTCTCCTTTTATCCTTAAGTCCCACTTCTTGGAATGCTTAGGAGAGGATGCTGATTTTTTTTTCTTCGAGATAATTCTTGTCCCACCTATGAATATTTTCATATAGGAAGAAAATGAGTAACTAACAACACCAAGGTTCAAGCATGGCACTCTGGACTTTCCGCCGGGTGTATAAATAGTGCTGTCAGGCTACTGACTGCGATGATTATTGTGTGACTATTGAATGGAACTATCCAGTCGAATTAGTGTGAATTACTGTGCGTCGATGATTTTGATTTTGATTTAGGATTTACCGGACGTTAAACCGAGCCGCGCTACTAACAAGGTATTCACTGAAATGGTTAATTATATTTTATTGACTTTTACTACTTTGTTCCTGTTAAGTATTTAATGGCAGTAGTAATTATATTCTGTTTTATCTTAACATTGAAGTCTTGAGTTATTTAATGGCCACCGTACGTCACAAATGTACCTATATCATGATCTTAGCCTCATTCATCCTCTGTACATTGGTCTTTGATAGGGAAGCAGAACCATTGTTTTCGATTAGTAGATTAATTTAGGATACGATATATAATGCTAAATGATCAGTGCCCATCACTTCATATCTATGCTTGTATATGTGTAGGACATAGTCTAGGAAAATATTAAATATATTAACGCTTTCCTCCTTGTCCTACTCTAGATGAAATATCCAGCTATTGGGATTATCACTCGACATCTACGGCTTTGTACGACAAGGTCCAGTTGATTAGGGTTTTGGAAGGCGGTTCTAATAGATGCATATATAACAGGTAAACAATTTTCTCTGTCTATATTTCTGGGATGAGGTATTATGTACACTATTTACATTGTTCGGACTGTTATCTTCATCTTTGTTGCCGTATTTATCACAACGTTTTGGCTGTTGTACGCTCCGGCCTTCTTCAGGTGGTTGGAATGTTGAACTGAACCCTTTATTTCTCTCACTGGGGTAGACTGTTCTAGTTCTACATGCCATGTTTTAACGAATGTCAGTTATCAGTTATCTCCTGTTAATTTCCCTCTGAAGGTTCCCCACTGCCTTAACCGGGTATTGAACTCACACTCTTTGTATCCTGTCAATATATCTAACCAATCCCTTGAGGGCAACAATCTTCTGTTGTTGAGGTAAGCAATTTACTGAAATTGGAAGGGTGGATGTTTTTCTCCGTTTAGATATTTTAGGAATTATTCCACGTGATTCGGCTAACAATTCATCGTTTTATTGGCAATGTAAAAATAATCCTTACTCAGTGTCCTTTGTTTCTCCCCGCTATGGTTAAATAGCAGGTCAGACGTTACTCTATAGATGTGATTGGCAACCAGTATATGGGAAGGACAACTCTTAATACAAGCCGTTGGTTGGCTCTGTGGGTGTCAAAGAACAACAAATAGACCCGAGCAGATGGGCATGCTTTGAAACGAACAGCCATGTTTCAAATTGAGAAATCACACTGATTTATAATGTTCCTTAAATTTGAAGCAGCTCAGATGATGATGATGATGACGATGAACGGTTGCAAGAATATTTTAAATCAGTTCATCGTTTTATTGGCGAAAAAAAAAGGCAACAAGTATAGGAGAAGGAAAATTCTGAGTCCAAAGCGTTTGAGACTTCGGCATATCTAAGTTTAAAATCTAAGTTTGATCCGTTCGGTATAATTACAGTATAAAACACAATAGGAGTAAGCAGATAGGCATGTTTGGGAAAGGCAGCCGTACTGAAGACGAGAAATCACACAAACTTGAAACAGCTCGTATGATGATGATGATGTTGATGATGATCTCCGTTTCTCGTTCGAAAAGATTTAAGAAAATAGTTCCTTTGCATTTCCAGTCCGTCTCCAGCCAATCTTTCTATTTCTACTCGCCTTTTCCGTCCATTCGTCGGGCAGAGCGCCATACAGCCCAACCCAACGCTTCGGTTTCCAGATTTAACTTTCGATATTCACTGTTGTCAGCCGACGTCCGTGTTGCACGGTCAATACTGACCGACATAGACACAATCCACGGGTACCAAAATCACTTGACCCCCACAAACCCAGTTTAGTTTTTGGAAGAAATGACTCATTACTGATTTTCAAAACAGCGATTTTCTCAGCCAGTTTCTGAACTTGGTATCTCAATCAGAAGCGGCCATTGTTTTCTTTCCATCCATTCTCTACCCGACTAACTGGGTTATTATTGATTTTTCTTTCTTTCTTTTTTTTGCCTTCAAGAGTCTTTTCTTCTTCTTGAATATTTAACAGTTTTATTTCTCTTCTTGTTTTTCCCCCCATCTTTTCTTTTTGAGGCTTAAATTAACATCCCGCTCAATGCACGTCTGTCTCTCCTTTCCCGCCATTCATCTTTCTTTTATTTTCTTACATTCCTCTTCTTTCTTTTTCTTCCCTTACTTTTCTTCTTTGTCCAGAATTTCTCGTTCCATTCCGAATGTGTTCCCCTATCTTCGTTTATTAATTCACATTTTTTCGATATTCTCCTCTTCCTTCTCCTCTTCAACACCTCCCACTTCTTTTCCCCTCCTCCGTCTTCTTCACACTCTTTTCACCTCTGCTTATTCATTTCTTTCTTATTTCAAATTTTTTTCTACCAATGATGCTCTTTTTATTTTCATTTCTTCTTCTTCTTCTTCTTCTTCTTCTTCTTCTTCTTCTTCTTCTTCTCTCTTGTTTTCACCTCCTCTTCTCTTCTTTTTCCTTCGAATTCCCTTCTTTTTTCCACTCCTCCTCCTCCTTCTCTCTTGTTTCCACTTCCTGTTCCCTCTCTTTTCTCTTCCTCCTCCTCCCCCGCCCCCTCCTTCCTGTTCTCTTCTTTTTCCTTCGAATTTCCTTCTTTTTTCCACTCCTCCTCATCTCTTCTTCTCTCTTGTTTTTCACTTCCTGTTCCTTCTTATTTTTCCACCTCACTTCTTCCTCCTCCTCCTCCTCCTCCTGCTTCTTCTTCTTCTTCTTCTTCTTCTTCTTGTTTCCACTTACTGTTCTCTTCTTTTTCCTTCGAATTTCTTTCTTTGTTCTCACTCCAACTCCGCCTCCTCCTCCTCTTCTTCTTCTTCTTCTTTTTTTCCCATTTCTTTTCCATGTTAGTCTCCTCATTATTTTTCATCTTCCTTCTTTAATTATTTCCGCTCTCTTATTTCTATCTTCTTCTTCCTTTCTCATTTGTTTCTTCGTTTCCATGTTATTTTCCCCATTTTCCTTCTTCACTTTTCCCATCTCATTTCTTCTTCTTCTTCCTTCTTCTTCTTCTTCTTCTTCTTCTTTGTGGATAACAGCGTTGGTTGAAGGAACAAAAAGTGACTTCCTCTAAAGAGTTGTGTGTTTAAAACCTGCCTCAGCAGAGGGAACAAAAACAGGGAGAATTGAGTTACTAAGGGGAATAAACTGACATTAAGATATCCAAAGACAATGGCAGGTTGAATTATAATAGTCTACCCCCTGTGGACTAAATAAAGGGTTCGATTCGAAATATCACCTGAAGAAAGCCGCACCGTACAACGGCTGAAACGTCGTAAATATGACAATAAAGATGAGGACAATAGTCCGAAACAATGTAAATAGTGTAAATAGTTATAATACTTCATCTCATAAATATAGACTGAACATGAAGATAGGAGAAATGAACGGTCGAAACGTCATGAATATGGAAATAAAGATGGGGACAGCAGTCCGAACGATATAAATATTTTAAAATTTTACAATATTCATCTCAGAAATATAGACAGATGAAGGCGGGAGAGTACAGCGGTCGAAACGTAGTGAATATGTCAATAAAAACGGAGACAACAGTCCGAATGATATTAACAAAATATTACAATATTCATCTCAGAAATATAAACAGAAAATGAAGAAATCAGGAGCGTACAACGGTCGAACGTCGTGAATATGGCAATAAAGATGGGGACAACAGTCCGAACGATGTAAATATTTTAAAATGTTATATTATTCATCTTAGAAATATGAAGAAGGCAGATCTTGATAGATCTGCCTTCGTTATGCCATCATGACTGGCGCTGCACCTCTTCCACCGGTATGGTCTTGGAGTTTATGAAGGGTTGGGGATCTTCGGGGGTTGGTCACGCTCAGTCTGGTCCCTCCTCTTCGACCTTACCACTATAGGTGGATTTACAGGAGATTGGAACTCCAGACGGCTTCGCTCTTGGGATCACTGGGATACGCCTCTACATGACAAGAAACGAACATACATATATATATATATTTCATACTGAATGTCGGAGTTAACAGCTCGTTATTAAATGTACCAATTTGACTTATTACTTTAAGGACAATAATAGAACAGTATCAATAAATAAGAAACAAAAAAAATGATAAAATTATCATTAAATAATATCTTTATTATTGTTTTTGCTAAAATATTTGATAATAAAGGAAAAAATCACTACTGGTAAAATAAATATTGGTAAAATAAATACTGGTAAAATACTGGTAAAATAAAAATAAAATAACGTTACGGCTCGAAACTCTTTTCCTACAAATTTGAAAAGACGTCCTTGTCCATAAAAAATGTGGTGTTACTACAATCAATGACTAAGTAAAGGATAAAAGAATACAATTACAGGCAAATTTAGTTAAAAATGTTTTCATGGTAGGGAAAGAAATCGAAGATACTGAACTAATAGTCAAAGATAAACAAAAACATTAAGACCCGAAATGCATTTCCTACAATTTGGAAAATTCTGCTCTTTTTCATAAAAAAGGGAAATGTTACGCTTAAATATAAATATAGAATTATTTGTGCCAGTGTAGAATTAATTTAACAAATGCAGTACTTTAAATATTCTTAATATACCAACACCTATTGATAATAGACATTATTAATAAAGTAATCTTGCTAAATACATATTTTAAAATAAAATAATTGATGTATACATCGACTTATCTTAAAAAAATATATTTTAATAATTATATATTGTGAATGCATAATAACATAAAAAATATAATGAAGAAAGAAAAATATAAGATAAATGGATTATTAAAATAAAGACACCTCTTTTAAAATACAACATTGCCTTCTTTGAGCAATAAAAAAACACGTCTGTTTATTCCGGCATCAGAATCTAATCTATAATTAGCCTTCTCGGTTTCACGTTTTTCGCAGACATGAATTTGAATGATGATATTGAATAAATGGCGCGGTTTGTTGCTAGGATAGTCGGTTCCTTGTGTCATGATAGACAATTTTTCTTGCCAGATTCAATCTTGCACGTTTATAAGTCTACCATTTGTCCTTGCTTTGAACATTGCTGTCATATCTGGTCTGGTGTTCCTGCTATATATCTTGATATTCTTAACAAAATCAAAAGTAGAATCTGCAGTGTTATCGGTCCTGACCTGGCATCTCAACTTTAGTCACTTACACACCTTCGTGTACGTCGTTTCTCAGTGAAATTTCTATAAATATCTTCATGAAAATGCCACCTTTCATAGTTCGACATCTTTAACTTAAGCGTTGTACTGAATGCAACGTTGAAATTTATCTGTGTAACCATAACTTCTATTCTAAGAGATTTTTTTCTCGCACTTCTCGCTTGAGGAACTCTTTTCCAGTTTCCTGCATTCTCGTCAACTACAATCATCAAAAGTTTAAATATAATGCCGATCACCATCTGCTGTCTTTTTGAATTCAAATCTTTTATTTTGCTTTCTTCTCATTATTGTCTTATTTTCTTTCACTCTCAGTAAACCCTTGCGTCTTAGTGACATTATCGCCTTGCTTGAGGGTGAAAAAGAAAATTCTACAAATTTTGATGCTTTCGACGTATAACCTGAATATAATTTCATAATAGAAAGTCTCCCCCACGCCATCAAAATGTAACAATCGTCTAATTCAAGGTCAGGTTAACATGACGATTTCGATAGAAAAGACCAACTGAGTTCGAAATATTTTCCCCGGTGTTCATCCTGTTTTATACAACCTTGTGTTATCATGGAGGACCAGGACATTTTCCATTTTGGTGAACATAGGGCGCTTTTTGACTAAACTTTCATGTTCACGTTGCAGCTGCTGGACGTTTAATAGGTACATTTATTTTATTATTTTTTTATAAAATTATTTTGGATCACCTGCTATTTTAGGAATGGCTAGTTTGTATGAAACATTCGTTATTACTTTTAATTCTCAAAAAGGAAAATAAATTATGCCTTGAATTAATGTAATAAAAAACAACCTATACATATATGTAAGCATTTATAAATACCCTCACCTATCACTTGATTATTGGGTTAAAAGCTTGTGAAGAACGGACAAGACCTTTTGGTAAATCCGAATACAAAGAACTGATACACTGTATGCCACAAGGTCCGTAAACGTCCCTCCACAGGTTTTGAATTTAGAATTTTCCTTCTTCTAGACCGTTCACCAACCCAGGCTAAAGTCCGTTCTGTGATTTATTCATAGATAGCGGCTCGGATTGAGGAATCGGTGAGTTGAGTTCGAATTCAAGTTGAGTTCAATGCATTCACTTGCAGCTAATACACTTTGAAAAAGTATCAAAGCCCGAGTAGTGCTTTTGAACACACGTCTTCCTCCCCATATACTGTTTAATAAATAAATGAAAACAGATAAGCTACTCAACTACTGAGTATCCATTTAAAATTAATGTTTACACAAATAAATTTAAAAAATCCATCGGATTTAATCCATTTCCTAAAAAAATTGCTTTATTTACGTTAGAATACAAAATAATCAGCAGGAAGATGTGTGTTCAAAAGCATGATTCGTGCTTCGTTTGATCAGGAGGTCTTTCGTGGCGGAGTTGGTCTACGGCACGTCAGATCTAAAGATCCCAGGGGATACACGTTCGAATTCTGTCGAAGGATGTATATTTTTCTAAACAAGATTTCTCGAATATTCAAGTCGGTAGATGCAAATAAATAAATATACTGTTTATTAAATAAATAAAAATGATCATCTACTTAAATAAATTCAAATATCTTACGCGTGTGCGTCATGCATATCTCACATGTGGCACATGGCCGAAAGTATGGAGCCCTCAGTTAGGACCGAACTCACAACTCAACCATAATCGATCTAGCAAGACAAGCTTGCTAACCATTACACCACATCGAAGTGTCCCATGAGACAGTATACAGCTAATATCCGAAAATAAATCTGTAAGTTAAAAAAGTCGAATGGATTTTTAAATATGTTCTGTAGAGAGAAGTTTCCGTTCTTGAATATTTGGATAAGTTTAACTAGCTACAGTTATTCCATCAATTGAAAAATATATTGGCCACTATATGGAAATAACGTATAAATATTCCATTACTCTTCATGCAATGTCGGATGTGCGGGTGGTGTAATCAATTGAGAAATCGGTGGGGATGTTTTTCCGATAATTCCAAATTAACCTCTTCAAAAATTTCTAACTAGCTAGATTCCCTATTTCCACCTGTTCAGAAATTTACAGCTAAAAACAGTCATGCTATGCCCACAGGGTTCAACTATCGTCATTCTGTTTGTATTCCATTGGTAAGGAGGAAGTTCCATTCTAACAGTGTTCCCACGAGCCGTTGCTCTGTGGAACAGATTCAGAGAGGTTGCTCACCTGATCGTTAAAACCCTAACATCTTCAAGTCTAGGGTCAGCCGGTATCTACCCGACAGAACCTTAAAAGCTACTATTCTTTTGTTCATAAAAATAAAAACCTTCAGTAAGTCTTGAATGCCTCTTGGGCCTTGCATTGCATAAACAATAGCGTAAAAAAGAGCTTGTTGATGAAACTAGAGAAATTGTTTCACCATTGTTATGGCGATATTTGACAAAAAATCGAACTTTGTTCAATGAATGGCTTATTGTAGTGAGTCATCTTGCTTCGTGCCTGCATTCTACTGTTTCAATGGAGTAGTTTTTATTGTTTTTCTTCACACACACATACATTATATATATATATATATATATATATATATATATATATAATGACGCTACCGTCGAATCGGCGGCGGGTAGCAACAGCCAGTCAAGAGAGATAGAATTGTGTGCAGAACAACAAACGGAATTTCTTGCCGGTTTGCAAGCGAGAAACATCGATCGTGCATGTCCTTTTTACACATATGACAGATTTCTT